CCATCTGGAGTACTGTCACCCCATAGTCCCCGGAATATACCAGGGACTGTCAATTTGGTTGAAAATGTTCAAGGAGGGCCACCAAACTGGGTGCCTGCACTTCATCTCAGCTACCTGAGAGATTGGAGCGCCTGAACTTGCCTGGCTTATACTACAGACGGGCAAGGGGGACCTAGTTGAGGAGTTATAAGCATCTCAAGGGGCACTACTCAGTTGAGTGTCCTTACTTGGAGCGCTGGCGGACGCTCGCCCCACAAGAGTCACAGCTCAAGATTGAAGAAAGCCTCAAGTCCGGAAAACCGTGAGAACCCAAACTTTTTTCGGAGTGAGGGTTGTAAACTCTTGGAACAATCTGCAAGAGAGTGTTGTGACGGCACCGAGTGTGAGCTCTTTCAGAAGACCAACACTGGAGCGGGTTCAGGTACATTCAGGGCCGGTGCATGCCAGTATTTGCCAACAGTGCGTGACAGAGACGTGACCGATCTCGCCCGGGCAGCTGGCAGGCCAATCTTTTGGTAGAAGAATATAAGGAAAAAGGAACATGTTTTCGATATCATAACTTTCTTTCGATCAGTAGGATAAAACCTAAAAACCTACTGTACTATATTATACTATACTGTACTATATTATACTGTACTGTACTATTTTATACTGTACTGTACTATATTATACTGTACTGTACTATATTATACAGTGTTGTACTTTTTATACTGTACTGTACTGTACTGTACTGTACTGTACTGTACTCCTATGAGGGATAAATTGAGCATAACGATTTAGGCAGGGGGTACAGTACTGTACCATCTCAGCACGGTACTGTACTGTACCATCTCAGCATGGTACAGTACTGTACCATCTCAGCGCGGTACTGTACTGTACCATCTCAGCATGGTACAGTACTGTATCATCTCTGCACGGTACAGTACTGTACCATCTCAGCACGGTACAGTACTATACCATCTCAGCACGGTACAGTACTGTACCATCTCAGCACGGTACTGTACTGTACCATCTCAGCACGGTACTGTACTGTACCATCTCAGCATGGTACAGTACTGTATCATCTCTGCACGGTACAATACTGTACCATCTCAGCATGGTACACTACTGTACCATCTTAGCATGATACAGTTCTGTACCATCTCAGCATGGTACAGTACTGTACCATCTCAGCATGGTACAGTACTGTCCCATATCTGCACGATACAGTCCTGTACCATCTCAACATGGTACAGTACTGTACCATCTCAGAATGGTAGAGTACTGTCCCATCTCCCCACGGTACAGTACTGTACCTTCTCTTCATGGTACGGTACTGTACCATCTCAGCATGGTACAGTATTGTCCCATCTCAGCATGGTACAGTACTGTCCCATATCTGCACGGTACAATATTAATAATAATAATAATAATAATTAATAATTAACGGTACAATACTGTCCCATCTCAACATGGTACAGGACTGTACCATCTCAGCATGGTACAGTATTGTCCCATCTCTGCACGGTACAATACTGTACCACCTCAACATGGTACAGTACTGTATCATCTCAGCATGGTACAGTACTGTACCATCTCAGCATGGTACAGTACGGTACCATCTCAGCACGGTATAGTACTGTACCATCTCAGCATGGTACAGTACGGTACCATCTCAGCACGGTATAGTTCTGTACCATCTCAGCATGGTACAGTGCTGTCCCATCTCTGCATGGTACAGTACTGTCCCATCTCTGCATGGTACAGTACTGTACCATCTCAGCATGGTACAGTACTGTTCCATCTCTGCATGGTACAGTACTGTCCCATCTCTGCATGGTACAGTACTGTACCATCTCAGCATGGTATAGTTCTATACCATCTCAGCACGGTACAGTACTGTACCATCTCAGCATGATACAGTACTGTCACATCTCTGCATGGTACAGTAGTGTCCCATCTCTGCATGGTACAGTTCTGTACCATCTCAGCATGGTACAGTACTGTCTCATCTCTCCACGGTACAGAACTGTACCTTCTCAACATGGTACAGTACTGTACCATCTCAACATGGTACAGTTCTGTCCCATCTCAGCACGATACAGTACTAAACCATCTCAGCACGGTACAGTACTGTACCATCTCAGCACGATACAGTACTAAACCATCTCAGCACGGTACAGTACTAAACCATCTCAGCATGGTACAGTACTATACCATCTCAACATGGTACAGTTCTGTCCCATCTCAGCACGGTACAGTACTATACCATCTCAGCACGGTACAGTACTGTACCATCTCAGCACGGTATAGTTCTGTACCGTCTCAGCACGGTAATGTACTGTACCTTCTCAGCACGGTACAGTACGGTACCATCTCAGCACGGTACAGTACTGTACCATCTCAGCACGGTATAGTTCTGTACCATCTCAGCACGGTAATGTACGGTACCATCTCAGCACGGTAATGTACGGTACCATCTCAGCACGGTACAGTACTGTACCATCTCAGCACGGTACAGTACTGTACCATCTCAGCATGGTATAGTTCTGTACCATCTCAGCAAGTTACAGTACTGTACCATCTCAGCACGGTATAGTTCTGTACCATCAGCATGTTGATTCTGTACCATCTCAGCATGAGTATAGTACTGTCTCATCTCTCCACGGTACAGAACTGGCACTGCCTTCTCAACTTATGGTACAGTACTGTACCATCTCAACATCAGGCCGCAGTTCTGTCCCATCTCAGCACGATACAGTACTAAACCATCTCAGCACGGTACAGTACTGTACCATCTCAACACGATACAGTACTAAACCATCTCAGCACGAGTACAGTACTAAACCATCTCAGCATGGTACAGTACTATACCATCTCAACTTATGTTACAGTTCTGTCCCATCTCCAACACCCAGTACAGTACTAACACCATCTCAGCGGTACAGTACTGTACCATCTCAGCACGAACAGTTCTGGCACGTCTCCAGCACGGCAATATGCTGTACCTTCTCAGCACGGTACAGTACGGTACCATCTCAGCACGGTACAGTACTGTACCATCTCAGCACGGTATAGTTCTGTACCATCTCAGCACGGTAATGTACGGTACCATCTCAGCACGGTAATGTACGGTACCATCTCAGCACGGTACAGTACTGTACCATCTCAGCACGGTACAGTACTGTACCATCTCAGCATGGTATAGTTCTGTACCATCTCAGCAAGTTACAGTACTGTACCATCTCAGCACGGTATAGTTCTGTACCATCTGAACACGGTATAGTTCTGTACCATCTCAGCACGGTAATGTACTGTACCATCTCAGCATGGTACAGTACTGTACCATCTCAGCATGGTATAGTTCTGTACCATCTCAGCATGGTATAGTTCTGTACCATCTCAGCATGGTATAGTTCTGTACCATCACAGCACGGTACAGTACTGTACCATCTCAACATGGTACAGTTCTGTACCATCTCAGCATGGTAGAGTACTGTCCCATCTCAACATGGTACAGTACTATACCATCTCAACATGGTACAGTACTGTACCATCTCAACATGGTACAGTACTATACCATCTCAACATGGTACAGTACTGTACCATCTCAACATGGTACAGTACTATACCATCTCAGCACGGTACAGTACTATACCATCTCAGAACGGTACAGTGCTGTACCATCTCAACATGGTATAGTTCTGTACCATCTGAACACGGTATAGTTCTGTACCATCTCACCACGGTACAGTACTATACCATCTCAGCACGGTACAGTACTGTACCATCTCAGCATAGTATAGTTCTGTACCATCTGAACACGGTATAGTTCTGTACCATCTCACCACGGTACAGTACTATACCATCTCAGCACGGTACAGTACTGTACCATCTCAGCATGGTATAGTTCTGTACCATCTCAGCACGGTACAGTACTGTACCATCTCAGCACGGTATAGTTCTGTACCATCTGAACACGGTATAGTTCTGTACCATCTCAGCACGGTACAGTACTGTACCATCTCAGCACGGTATAGTTCTGTACCATCTGAACACGGTATAGTTTTGTACCATCTCTGCACGGTACAGTACTATACCATCTCAGCACGGTACAGTACTGTACCATCTCAGCATGGTATAGTTCTGTACCATCTGAACACGGTATAGTTCTGTACCATCTCAGCACGGTACAGTACTGTACCATCTCAGCATGGTATAGTTCTGTACCATCTGAACACGGTATAGTTTTGTACCATCTCTGCACGGTACAGTACTGTACCATCTCAGCACGGTACAGTACTGTACCATCTCAGCATGGTATAGTTCTGTACCATCTCAGCACGGTACAGTACTGTACCATCTCAGCATGGTATTTTTTGTACCATCTGAACACGGTATAGTTCTGTACCATCTCAGCACGGTACAGTACTGTACCATCTCAGCACGGTACAGTACTGTACCATCTCAGCACGGTATAGTTCTGTCCATCTGAACACGGTATAGTTCTGTACCACCTCAGCACGGTAATGTACTGTACCATCTCAGCACGGTACAGTATGGTACCATCTCAGAATGGTACAGTACGGTACCATCTCAGCACGGTACAGTACTGTACCATCTCAGCACGGTATAGTTCTGTACCATCTGAACACGGTATAGTTCTGTACCATCTCAGCACGGTACAGTACTGTACCATCTCAGCACGGTATAGTTCTGTACCATCTGAACACGGTATAGTTCTGTACCATCTCAGCACGGTACAGTACTGTACCATCAACTGTTACCATCAGTAGAACACCTTTGTTTATCAATTCACCTGTTCTCATCCTGTACAAGGACGATAATTAATGTTTCAAATGTATCCGGAACAGTGAACAATACACAGTCTTCTTTACTTATTTATAACTTCTTAATAACCAAATATATTAAGAAAAATACCTTATTTTAATTTTTTTAGTTTGGTAATGTATGAGGCCAAAACTACCACAAGTAGTTGTTCGATTTAGTTTGGATTTTTTACATAAAGGCGAAGAAACGGACATAACTTTATCTAACTTGTTAGCTGCTCCTGGACCCCGTCATATTAAACAGTAAGTACTAATTTGATATCTGGTCTAATGAAAGCAACTTTCTTGAAGCATCTTGGTGTAATTTATGTTTTGTGGACGTGATGTAACGGGGCGGGTTTTCTCTTGTCAATAATTTTCCATCCAGCTACTGTTTTCTTTTATATTCTATTTACTCATATACTTATTTGTTCTGTAGCATTCCTCAATAGTACCCTGTTTAATATACTTATTCTCCTTCCATTCTTTACATATATATTTATTCTTATATGTTCTTAAGTGACAATAAACACATTTTGGGGAGGAGTAAATAATTAATTTCTTCTCATAGAGATATTTTGTGTCATATGATCAGTTTTTCACCGTGTTTTACCTCATCCTTCACGCCCTGGGTGATTTATCATCCTAGATACAATAAACTGAAAAAAGGTCTTTTTATATTAGTGCATCGCTCTATCTCTCGGTGTAAACAGCAACCACAGAATTCCTGAAATTCACTTGACTCAATGGATAGAACTATTATTTCTATGATAATTTTCTTATATTACACTTCCGTCGTAAATTGATAATAAGGAAGTTATTGAATTAAAAAAATAAAAATATAGCAGCTGCCTTCCTAGGGTGTGGCCCTGTTGTAAGGTTAGGTTTGTGTCTCTGGTTCCGATATAATGTCAAACCATCAAACCATCAGAAAATAATTACCAAAACTTTCTTCCTAGATATAGAGTTGGTTTAGATTCCTGTTAGGTTAGGTAGGTTCCTTTGGTTGGTTAGGATAGGTAGGTTCCTTTGGTTGGTTAGGTAGTTTTCTTTGGTTGGTTATGTATGATATATATGGACACAAAGTAGTACCTTCAGCTGTATATTGTTATATTACTATTATTAATTATGTATAGTAAAGTATTACAGAACATGTATTAATTCTATGTAATATTCCATTTATTGTGCACCATATTATGTATATAAATTATCACATTTATACTTTATGTATTCAGCTTGTGAATGCTGGCATCTGTATAGGCCAGCGCGTAGTAATACATAGATAGATGTAGAGGTAGTTAAGACTGAGTTCTGGTGGTGTGCCCACAGGCTTCGTGTCCCACTGTAATATCTCCCGTACGAGAATAGAACCTACTTTTAAAGACAACAAAAGTGTTTGTATATACCCTCAGTAGTATAGAACATTCTTTGGGTATCTGGCAATACGCTAGATGGCGCAGTGATTCTTTCTCAGTGAGATTCAGTGGACCAAGCCTTCCCCCGGACTCTCTGTTATGGCGTCTCTTCCACTTCAGCCGACAGCAAGACTACTACAAGCCTCTGGACTTACAGTGTTGTGAAGTGCTATGCTGTGTACAGTGCTGTGCTGTGAAGTGAAGTGTTTTGTGAAGTGCTGTGTATTTTAATCATAATTGTCTGTGCAAGTTGCGGTCAGCTGACTAAGGGAGCGACCCGACAGTACGTGCTCTCCCGTCTCTGGTCTGAGGGTGACTGAGGAGCTACGCGACGCTGGCCACTCGCTCCTCCGTCTGGCAGCGCGCCAAGTCTCTCCCCTCCCGCCAGGCACACACACACACACACACACACACACGCATTCACCTTATATTTCTTGTGACTTACTGTAAACTTCTGTAATTCTGTGCATAGATTACGAGGGGCTGACCCGATCTTTTGCACAGATAGAGTACAGAAGCAGTCGGCATGTCTCACAGGGATCATAACGATACCCTGGACGATGGGGTTACGAGTTTTAGTGTGGGAGACCTCTCCCCACCCACGATTACGCCCCACGCCCCCCACAGTGACAGTGCCCAATCACCCACAGAATCTCCTCGCTCGTCGCGAGCCAGCTCTCCTGCGATGCATGCGTCCACAGATCTCCTTCAACTGATAAAGTGGATGGAAACTTCTCGACGCCAGGACGATATGGCAAGGAGAGAAGAGGAAGAAATTAGGTACAAAGAGTCTGAAAGACGACGCCACAAAGAGGAACAAACACGCAGAGAACTCGAAGACATACGTAGACGTGAGGATGACCTTAGAAGACAGGAGGATCAAGCCAGATTTGAAGCTTTGATTTCTCTGTTAGCCTCCCCACAACGTTCTACCGTACAAGATTCGTCTGCTACAACTGATGTTGATGCGACTAGAGGTACTGGTACCTCATTTTCCAGAGTCGGAACAACACCTCAAAAGGCTGCTGTACAGACGCCTCCCTCTCTGATGTCTGACGCTTCTTATCAGATGTTTCGGGAATGGCGTCGACGTTGGCAAGACTACGCAACAATGGTTGACTTGTCCAGTTTATCACAGCCGAAACAAATGATCCAGCTTCGTATGTGCTTGTCCTTAGAGACACAACGTACTCTCGAGCACACACTTCAAGTGCCTCCTACGACAACTCTGACGGTAGAGGCCGTGCTCGACAAGTTGCAGGAACACGTCAAGGGACAGCGCAACGAAGCACTCAGGAGAAGACAACTCCTCCAATGTAAACAGCTTGATGGAGAATCTTTTGACGCGTTTTTTGTAAGGCTCAAAAGGTGTTCAGAGGAAGTTGATGTTTGTCCCGGACATTCTCAAGTCTGTGAAGAAACACAACTTAAGACAATTATCTTAACGGGTGTCCGAGATGAAGAGCTAGTTCAGCGTCTCATTTCCCTCGACCCCACTTCCTCCCTTCAAGATGTTGTTACGAAATGTCGAGCGTACGAGGCCGCCAGGTGTGCGACTTCAGCTTTACGCTCACAGCCTGACCAGGTGAGGGCAGTGTCTTCCTACAGAAAGGGTAAGAAGCAGCAAGGTAACCCCACCCCTCACCCTCCAGCTACACCTTCAGCAGCAGCTTTGTGTAACAGCTGTGCGAGACAGCATAATGCCTCCCAGTGCCCAGCTGCTCAAAGCGTGTGCAGAAGTTGCGACCGCCAGGGTCACTGGGCTTACACAGTCAAGTGCCCTGCTAGCAAAGTTCAGTGTAGACTTTGTGGTCGTGTGGGCCATTATGACAAATGTTGTCGTAAGAAGACACATAAAGGACGCCACCTAGGATCCAAGAAGTCATCCTCAGGTAGTGCTGGCGCGCCCCCTCCTTCTGGCAAGCATCAAGACGCTGTGTCCAGTCGTTCCTGCTGTCGTGTACGTAGTTCCACAGACACGACGCCCCAGCACATCAATGTCGTCATTTCTTACGGTAACTCGTCATCCAGTCTTCAGATGTTACCTGACACCGGTGCTGACGTCTCAGTAATTGGTCCACAACATTTAGCAAGTTTGGGAATACCCCGGAGCAACCTACAGCCCCCTCCTCAGACAACGAAACTGACAGCTGATGGTTCCAAGATGGCTCCAGCGTTGGGATCTTTCTGGGCTACCCTTACCTTTGGTAAGCAGTCTTGCTCCGCCCGGATTGATGTTCATAATGGTATCCCGACTCCGCTCTTATCATATGGCCATTGTCAAGAGTTGGCCATTATTTCCAAGGAATTCCCTAAACCTATTTCATTGAAGGCCGTCTTCACATCAGAAGAGTCTACAGCACTGGATGCAGACAAGACTCTTGAAGATCTCCGCACCGCAGCCCGGGCCGACCCTTCCTACATCCGGCTCGTCGACTGTGTGTCTCAGGGATTTCCATCGAATCGATACGACCTTCATGAATCGCTACTCCCGTACTGGAAAATACGCGAGGACCTCTATTGTGATGGAGACCTCGTCTTGTATGGTCCACGAGTAGTTATTCCTGCTGCCCTACGCCGCCGTACCTTGGCCCGCCTTCACGACAGCCATCGAGGAGTGGAGGCCACCAAGCGACGGGCGAAGCAGACTGTATTTTGGCCCGGAATCAACGCGGACATTGCAAGTACCGTCCGTGCCTGTGAACCGTGCCAGATTCTGCAACCTAGCCAGCAACAGGAACCTTTAATGTGCGACGATAACCCTTCAAGACCCTTCGAGTCTGTGTCGGCCGATTTCTTTGCAGTTGCAGGGAAGTCCTTCCTCGTCATTGCCGACCGACTGTCTGGATGGCCTGTTGTCGTCCCCTGTGGTAGTGATACAACGGCTACTGCTACCATCCGGAGCTTCAGGCATTACTTCAGAGAAGTTGGTGTTCCCCTCCGCCTCAGGACTGATGGAGGACCCCAGTTCACCAGCCACGAGTTCCGGGACTTCATGGACCGTTGGGGAGTCCGTCATGTCGTGACCTCGCCCCACTACCCCCAGGCGAATGGACACGCTGAAGCCGCAGTCAAGACTGTGAAACACCTGATCCTTAAGGTGTCACCCTCAGGAAATATCGACTGCGAGGACTTCGATCGAGGTTTGTTGGAGTTACGCAACACCCCGAACTTCACCGGACGCTCCCCAGCCCAGGTTCTATACGGACATCATCTCAGGTCTTGTGTTCCTGCCCACCCGAAGTCTTTTTCTCAAGAGTGGCAGGCCAAGACTGAAGAATGTGACCGCCGTGCAGCAGAACGAGCCGCAGATGTCGCTGCTCGGTACGACTGTCATGCCCGCCCCCTTCCCAGGTTGAGTATCGGCCAGCAGATCAGGATTCAAGATCCGGTATCTCACCGCTGGGACAAGGTTGGGGTTGTTATGGGTATTGGCCGGTCCAGGGACTACCAAGTGCGTCTTCCTAGTGGTAGAGTATGGTGGAGGAACCGTCGTTTCCTCCGACCTGTGGAGCTGCCTAGTGTTGACCCCTCCCCAGTTGAGTCCCCTAATGTTGATGTCTCTAAAGTAAATCCATCCCCACCTTGTGTTTCTGCCCCAGTACTCCGCAGGTCCGAGCGACTCAGAAACAAATGGTCCGCTCAAGATGAAACTATGAGCGTATAGGGGGGAGGGAGGTGTATGATATATATGGACACAAAGTAGTACCTTCAGCTGTATATTGTTATATTACTATTATTAATTATGTATAGTAAAGTATTACAGAACATGTATTAATTCTATGTAATATTCCATTTATTGTGCACCATATTATGTATATAAATTATCACATTTATACTTTATGTATT